TATTTTTTCGGAGAACAAAATCTGCATCCTGAATAAATGATTGAGAAAGAAATACATTTTTATAGTTTTGCTCCATTGTTATTCATTTCATTCCCTCGCTCAACAAAATGATAAAAGAAATTAATGCATGACCAATAGTAAGTCATTCAGGAGCAGCTACATAGGTGAAATGTCAACAATCTGACAGCCCAAAATTATTCCCAAATTATTGGATATACAGCCCAAGTGGATGCCGACAATCAAAGCGTTCTATTCGATTATATTGAAAAGGACCATGTTCATTACGAGAATTTATCATTTATAGTCGAAATTTAACTCTTAAATTGAAAAATATTATCATTATTATTTATAGTCAAAACCTCATGTCGATTTATCGAAGTACCCTCAAAACAGAAAACAAAACACCAAAAAAAAATTTCTTTATGTTCTTTCTTCTTTGTTCTTTTTTATTTAATGGTATAAGGTAGAAAGAGGAGCATGACAAAATTAAACATTTCATGAAGATGTATTTATTCTGATGGAAATAAGTCGTTCAAATTATCAATTTCATTCCTTAATTACATGCCTACAATCCAGATGATGACGAAAATTTCACATAACTACAACTTTTGAATATCTTGTGTCATAATTAATTGGTATTTAAAAAAAATAAATAAATTAGAACTATAACTTCTGCTTATTTTTTAAGAGTATTATGCAAGTATTCATTTTGATGAAAATTGCGATTATATGATCTGATGATTCTGCACATGGAGGGTTGCACAAATTAGGCATTTAATTATGTAATAAAAATCGAGTATAATATGCACAACCAGTGAAGTAATTTTAATATGGATATGTAAAAGATGAAAAGAAAAAGCTGGAGACGGAGGAACGTATTTGCAGCATCACTCCAGAAAAGTGTGTTGGAAGATGAGAATATTTTGAATCAATTTTATGGTGATTGGCTTCTTACATGAAGAGAATCATATATATGACGACTCAATTCTAAAGTCTATGCAAGTTGATGTTGCTGCTTTTGGATCTCAATATGGAAGCAATGATACTGGAGAACTAATTAGGTTTTGGTCTTAGGTGTAATTAAGTTTTAGTTTTGAGGGTAGCTGGTCTATTTAAGTGAACTTTTAGTTGTATTTTGTTGGTTTTTGTTTTATTCTTTTCAAAGAAGTTGATTCCAACTTGAAATGTAAATGTAAATGTAAACTAAAATATAAATTAGCATCTATACATGATAAACATTTCAGACTCAACGTGATTCACACCTAACATTATCGATATCTTAATTTAATCATTCATTAATAGGTGTAGGATTTATCACAAAAGCTTGGGCAATATTAGAAGATAAATTGTATATTACTTTGTTATATATCATTCCCGATGTGAGACTCTATTCTCCAACACGTCCCCTCACGAGTGATCCCACATATGGTCACATGAGAAGCCAATTCCCACATCTGAAACTGGTTAATTTATTGGGCCAGAGTTACCACAAATTTTCGAGGGCCCGGTGATAATTCATTAACCAGAGCCGACACATATTTTTGAAGGTCCAAGTATTCATTGATACCCTTAAGCTGGAGCTAGCATAACTTTTTGAAATCTCAACTTAAGGAAGCTAATTCAAGATCAAGGAATTGAACTCAAGTCATGTCGGAAGAATAACATACTCTGATACCATGATAAACTTTTTAGGCCCAACATAACCATCAACCAATATCACCGATATTGTCCCTAATATAATCACTTATTACTAGGTGTTGAGCTTTATTACAAAATATATAGTTCAATAATATGAGAATCAAACCATATAAAATTTATTTTATGTTATTATCTCTTTGATGTGCAACTCTATTTTTCCACTACAATACTGCTGCACACCAAAACTTTAACAACAGCTTAGTAAACAAAAATAATGCTAATTCCTTCACATTAACAACAGCTTATACTAGGTTTCAGCTAACCCTACCCTACACATTCAATTGTTTCCGATGAATGTTCAGATCTCTCCCTGCTCGATTTCATATTTGGTAGATGAGGAATTTATTTCTGTAGCTCTACCATTCCTTCCTCCGACAATCTGATCACCTTATCTCTGTTTTTCATTAGAACATGAAATCTTAGAACTCTGTTCTTTCTAGTGAAATTTTTTTAAATAGTTTTGTTATTGTATCTATAACGACCTGCGGTTTAGGTGGACAACCCAGAAAATAGACAATCATAGGATTAGCTTATCAACTACCCGAACAGTATTATAAGAATCGGTACTTAACATCGTATCTTTGAATTAAAATGGCTTTGGGTTAACTTAGTACTTTTATGAGTTCAAATAAAGTTACCCTAAATAACTTCCATTGGCATTTTAAAATATAAAATAATGTCTTTGTAAAAATATTTAAAATAAGATACTATCATGGTCTATCTTCGTATCTTTGAATTAAAATGGCTTTGGGTTAACTTAGTACTTTTATGAGTTCAAATAAAGTTACCCTAAATAACTTCCATTGGTATTTTAAAATATAAAATAATGTCTTTGTAAAAATATTTAAAATAAGATACTATCATGGTGTAGTGATATTAAAATATTGTAAAATCATGTAAAATTCGAAAATATTAAAATTTAAGAAACAACCTTTCATTGAAGAACACTCTTATACACTATATTCCATATGTTGTCTCATCAATATATATTCATAAACTCATTATAGTAAAAAAAACGTTTGTTCCCCTTGTCCATCATCTAAAGAAAATTCATTTGATTTGGAAATTGTTCAATTATCCATATGAAACAAGAAATAAGTGATGAGCCACGTGGCATGAATCAAAATAAATGAAAAGGAAAGTATTGTCCAAACCTTACTATTGTATTATTTTAGAAGACTTTAATTGGGTTAATTTGAGAGAAAAGAAAAGTATTTGGTCAAATTTTCTGAAATTAAATTCCAAAAGCCAACTCAAGATGGAGTCTCCCACTGTGGCAACTGGCAAGAGTAGGACGGAGTTGTTAGTCTCGTAGTTCTCAGTCACTCAAATCGTCAAATTGGCAGGTTTCTGTTGGGTCCTACATTTCCACACCCTTCTTGTCAATGTATATGGCCCGACACCACTATAATCCAAAAAACGACAAGGCTTTTGATTGGCGTCGGATCAGCCACGTGGCATGAATCAAAATCGTCATTTATGCTATGGGCCTATGTAGCCGATTGTCAATTTTGTGCGAGTGCCAACTAGCTTTAGTAAGTTTGTCAGAAGAGTATTACAAAGCATTCTGGTAGAGTAATATTATAGAGATTAAATTTGTACAAAAAATTTGTAAAATAAATGATTTAAAAATTGATGATTGAATTATTACTTAAACATTAATAAACGTGCTTATTTTTTAATTGGTGATACGTTATTTACTTTGTAAATTTTGTCGACAAATTTAGTCTTTCTAACATTATCCTTCTTCATACGAGTCTTAAAGAAAACTTAAAACGGTACGATGCGGTCCAACTATAATGTTTCGTCCTAATCAATTGTATGAGCTTCATATAAAATAGAAGTGATGCAGATCTATTAATTTTTCGTTGCAAAATTTAAAAGTTAATTTTCCGAAGCACTCAGAACAAATATGTCTAAGGCCTCGTTGTGTACATAAAGGGTGCTGAATACCTTTCATTTTTCTCTATCAAATTAGCCATGCCACCCAAGATCAATATGAAAAATCAGTTAACTAAAACTATTCGTGTTGAGTTGTGCAAAAAGAAAGCATCAAACCCCAACTATAAGGAAAAAAATTATAAGAGAGCATCAAACCCAACTTAAGAAAAAAATTATAACCACGTTGGGTGTGTTTCCTTAAGATGGGACCAAAAAAAATTATAACTTATTATAATGCGAAATTTATACCTATAAAGAACTGATCTTAAGTTGGGACCGAAATTTTTCATGACTTTAAGAAGATTATTTCTTTCTAAAGTATCATTTTAAAGAGCTCAACGTTATTTAAGGGAAAGGGATGGCCAGATTCGGATTCTTGCTGTGCATATTTAAAAGTTATTTACCAGTTGAGCCAAAACTCATCACACATTTGAGACAAATAATTGCCTCTAATGATATAATTACAATCTAGTGAGGATAAACACCATAAAAGTAAACAATGACCTTAAAATGGTGTTTGAAAACAAAAATCCCAGCCTGTAAAGTGAGAGCCACATCATTGGGTCCATCAGTAGAACTACTGGCCAGTCAGCATCCCATATCAATCAATTTATATTGGCTGTATCGAAAATAGATTTTCTCTAGATCTCTTCTTCCAAAACTCAAAGATCAAGTAATTCGGGTCTTTAAAATTTGATCCAACGGTTAAAAATTATTATAGCTTTTAAAAGTTTTTACTAACTTCTCTGTTTTTAGCCATTGGATCAAATTTCAAAAGCTCATATCACTTGATTTTTGGATTTTGGAGGGAGAGATCCGATTCTTTCCCAACATTGATATCTTATAAGGCCGAATTTTCATTGGACGGCTTTCACTTCAGGGGCAGCACTTGACTCTGAGAGAGAGAGAGAGGGAGAGAGAGAGAGAGAGGCTGCTATGTGGTATTTTTATACACAACACTGATATCTTAGGGCATGGAGTTAGGTGCAAGGAAAATCTTATCAATATTCCACTCTTGTAAAATCACACTCACCAACCTTAGTACCTTACTAAGCTTTTAGAATCTCATGGGATGTATAGATACAACCGGGTGAGTTGGGCAGCATTTGCATTCACTTAAAAGATAATACTTGTAAGGGTAAATTACATAAAATTACTTCAATTATGAGTCAAAACACAATTTCATATCTTATATTTTAAAAATTACAATCTCATACCTCATTTTACGAATTTGTTGCAATATCAAACTTCTTTCAATTTTTCTATTAATTTTTCTGTTAAATGCTGACGTGACTTGAGACAAGACCCACTTCCTAGCCCAATTAGATCAAAAAATTAATTAAATATTAACAAATTAAAAGTTAAATCATTTTAATATTTTAATATTTTTATTAAAAAATGCGGAGCCCACCACTACAAACTCACCCTTCTTCCTCAATCTATCCGTCTTTGCTGAACCTTCCTTCCTTCACCACCAAAACCAGAACTCACTCCCCCGTCACCTACCTCACCTGCCAATCACCACCCTCTCTCCCTGCTGCTCTTCAGCCCAAATTATTGACTACCTATTACTTTACCATTTTGGTCCCCAATTTAATTTACTCAAACAAATCAAATCCTGAAATTTTGCAAACTGGGTGGGCTCTGTTGCTACGCCCCTTTGACTCCTTTGCCACCGCCACAAGCAAATCCACGTGCATCCATCTTTTTCTTTCCCTTATATTTCGAACACGCGGTGGTGTGTTTGTCAATCTTTGCGCATACAATCATGCTAGCATCATCTTGGGCAACGACACTGGGGAAGTTTTGGGCAACGACAACAATCTTCCTAATCTTCCTAAATTCCCAACACCGACAATGATTATTTTAAATAAATTTGTATAAATTGAACTGATTTAATGAAAAAGTTCAATAAAATCAACAAGCAATAGACCTGTTTGTCGGATTCCGGTTTAGATTCGAATTCAGAGCTAGCATCATCTTGGGCAACGACACTGGGGATTGATTATTGCTGCAAGGCTTTGGAGATCTTGAAATCGATGAAGGTGGTGCTCCAGTGAGCATGTTCTTGGGCTACTATTTTAGAGAAGGAAATGAATTCCCACAAGGACTTAGAGTGGCGAGAAGCTCGGGAAGGCTTTAAGGCTTCTTCGTCTTTTTCATGTTCGTCTTCCTCAGGGGACAGGAGGCGGCTACACTAGTGTTCTGGGGTCGAAGGGAGAATGAGTTCAATCGGGTTTGTGGGGTTGAGTTTGGGGTCCAAGAAAGGTGGAGGGGACGATTTGTGATTGGAGGTAAGAGAGGAGTTTGAGCTGGGTGGTGCACTGAGACTCCATTCGAGCTGGGTGGTCCAGGGAGAGAAGGTAGTGATTGGTGGACAAGGGCGGGGGTTTGGGAGGGGCTTTGGTTTTGGTGGTGAAGGAAAAAAGGTTAGGGGAGAACGGTGGACTGGGGGAGACAGGTGGACTGGGGAAGAAGGGTTAGGGTGGTGAGTTTGTAGGGGTGGGTCCCACATTTATTGGGAAAAATGTTTAAATAATTTAATATTTATTTTTGGTCAATTTTTTTTCTTGGTCCCTGTGGTGTGACACGTCACTTTAACCCTTGTGGTGAATAAACTCATGTGACTATCACGTGGATGAATCAAATTCATCATTTCAATCCAAACTACATCCTATTCCATGGACATCTAGCATGACTTGTATACCGTATATGTGTGTTCTTTCTAGGCGAGTTATGACATACACTTGTTTCTTTAGTGAGTTGGCATCTGATTCCAGTGCACAAAGAAAATTGAAACAAAGTGGAGATAATTTACATTAACCATTGACAAAAGAAAAAATAACTTCATCATTTCTCATACCATAATGTATTTTGCACACTAATGACAAAAGCATATATCCAACCCAAAAAGAAAAAAGAAAAAAAAAATAAAGATAGAAGTATGTCTTCCACAATATATTGTGGCTCATCATAACAAAAAGTCATTAAAAATGTTTTCCACAAAATAAACAAATAATCTAGTTTTTCACAAATCAAAATCAATTCCCTTCACTTCATCATTTTTATTTTTATTTTTTTGCAAGGTATTGTGCTTTTTCATCTGTTGATTTTGCATATTCTGCATTGGGGCCATTCCAGAAGGTCTCCAAGGATTTTTAGCATTTTGATGATATTGTAGAGGTCATTTTAGGAGGTCTCCAAGGTGCATTGAAAGGTTGTGTACTGCAAGACTACAACTTGCATCAAACCACACTACCAATTAAAGACAAAATTGAAAGGCATGTATGCAGACTGGTACAAATTGATACAAGAATTAAAATTCAAATAAGACTAAGTCTCTTAACTCATGATCAAAGACGCGTTGGCATTAAAAAAAAAAACAATAGTTTATTAAAAGTATTAGGATTACCAAACGAAGTCATACCTAAGAAATTAGGCGGGACTTCCCATTCACCTCTTCTCCTAGCTATTGACATGGTTTTATAGATTTACTTTCACTGCGTTTAAGTTTTTGTTTTTTTTTTAAGTCATACTAGATGTCCACCACATACAATGAATTTGGATTGAAATGATGAATTTGACCCTTCCATGTAATAGTCACATGAGTTTATTTAACAGAAGACTAACATAAGTTTGGATTGGACCTCAATTGCTAACAAGGCTCACTACGAGGGTTTAATTAACAACTTTTTCACCATGTGGGTTACATTAAAAGTGTCGTGTCACCACAGGGACCACAAAAAAAATTTGGCCTTTATTTTTTAATAATTAATTAATTTTTTAATTGAGTTGGGCTAGGGAGCATTTAACATAAAAATTAACAGAAAAACTGACAAAGGTCTGACATTGTAACAAATTTGTAAGATGAGGTATGACATTGTAATTTTTAAAACATGAGGTATGAGATTGTGGTTTAACCCATAGTTGAGGTTGTTTTGTGTAATTTACCCTACTTGTAACTTCTAAGCTTTACTTGTTACTATTATGTGGGAAATACACATAAATAACACATTTTGCATAATCAAAATGCAGCTTCACTTGTGGATCTCCATATCGACCCTAATGATTTTTTTTTTAATGACAAATGATACCGCTAGTGTGTTAAATTGTTAATCGTTAATGGACAAGGAGATGGGGTGGGATCGAACCAGTACCAAGCAATCGCCCAGGCTCTGTGTTCCACCACAAGGAGCGGAAGAGTGTGAGGCCAGAGCCGGGACCTCCCCGTTAGTTCCATTCTTTGGTCCAAATTCGGGCACGTAGGGAGTGCCTTTCGTTGTGGTTTCAGAATTTCCAATAATGTTTTCTTTTATCTAGGGCATGTGAATCAAAGAATTAAAAAAATTCTCAGATTGGGTGTGTTAGAAAAATTCAAAGAGGTATAAATTCGAAAAGAATTGCAAGAGCTTCTTTGAGATTTGAATCAAGCTCTCAATGAAAGCACCAATTTATGGTAGCAAAATTATGCCACTACAGATTTGACGAAATTGTACTTACAAAACAAATTAAACATCTTTAGTTACCATCGAAGACACTTGCCTAGTAAGAGGGGTGGGATTTGAACAATGAACCTCGGATGTCTAAATCAGTTTCTTTGAGAAGAGAGGGAGATTTTGAATTGAATTGTATTGAAACAACTTACCAAAGAATGAACATGTGATTGGGTATTTGTATGAGCTAGTAGCCGGCCATGGGGTGTAGGGAAGCTCACGCTACATGTTGGGACCCGATTGGCCAAAGTGTGTCATTTGTTGGATGCATTAGAAAAATATCTTTAAGATGTTGAAATATCATAATGATACTTGAGAATAATCCATGTGTCAGTTCCAAAAATTTTTGAAATATTTTTAGCTCCATAAAAAAAAAAAAATTATTTCATCCCACTCAAAAGGGAGGCCAAGGGTGACTAGCATAGTGGAAAATTAAGATGAAGAAAAGGAAAGATGTTTGAAATGTCATATGAACCTATACACAATTTTCAATTTGCCATATGAACTAAAATTTTAAGCGAATAATCATGTCAACTTTCAAAATCATTAACCTGTCAGCTTATCCTAACTTTGTTAAATTTTCCATTCAAAATAAGTCATGTGTATCGTACAAGACTTAAGTTTAGGTTTGTTTTCAGCATGTCAACACCTCACTCCCTTTCTAAAGTTGCCTTCCACCAACAAATAAAAAAAAAAAAAAGAAAAACCCTAGAATTCCTTAGAGATAGTCATTGAGGTCCTCCAATATATTGTTTTTGGGATCAAGAAAATGTTGTGGACCTTAAAAGCTTGCAATTAGTCACAACTCTATATTAGTGAGCTTAATGTACTTTTTTAGTAGTTCACAATAACTAAACTTTTTAAACGAATACAACATGCTTTTAACTAACCAAAATTAAAGAGTTTGTACTAAGGAGAAGTAAAGAATTTGTGGAAAGGAGGTCAAAAGTCTGCAATAACCCTTAATATAAGTCATGTGCACTTATTTTTTATGGAAAACTTAACGTAGTTGATATGATAAATTGTTTAAAATTTTAATTAATATGAAAAATTAAAAATTAAAAATTGTGTATAAGTTCATATGACATTTAAAAAAATATCTCATAAAGAAAGTGACAGTATTTAATTACGCCGTGGGGATTAACTAAGAAAGAAGAAGCGCGAAAGAAGAATACAAACTGTTGGGTAGGACCTAACTGAAAGCTTGCCATTAGCTGGATGGAAAGCAAAGTTGTGATGGATTTCCATTGGGAAGCCAGTCTTCTTTCCCTTCCCTAACTAAATATGTATAAATAGCCCACATCTTCTCATCATCCAAATCACATTCAAATTATTAATTCCATAACCTATCATATTTTTGTGTGACAAAATCATGGCCCTTTACCTTAGTTGGAGTTGGAGGGTTGTCGTTGCTTCTTTCTGCTTTTGTTTTCTTTCTTTGTTTTCTCTCTCTGCTTTTGGACGACCAGCCACTTTTCTTCAGGACTTCCAAGTCACATGGTCCGATTCTCATATCAGGCAAATCGATGGAGGGAGGGCCATCCAACTCGTTCTTGACCAAAATTCTGGTAAATATAGTTATTCGATCGTGGGGTCAACTTTACTATTTTTAGTACTAATAATATAGTTATTTTTATATAAAAAGAATAAAAAAAAAGGTTCGATTCAATCCGAGTATTGTTTGTCTTCACAAAATATGACGAAGTAATGAGTGCTTGCTAAATTTGATGCATTATTTTTTCAGGATGTGGGTTTGCCTCCAAGCACAAGTACTTGTTTGGGCGTGTGAGCATGAAGATCAAACTCATCCCTGGAGACTCTGCTGGAACTGTCACCGCTTTTTATGTAACTTTACGGCTTCAAAACCCTGAATAGATTTCTGGGTTTCTTGATTTCTATGAAATGTTAATCTGATTTGCATTGAAATTCTTTGGCAGATGAACTCCGACACCAATACAGTTCGTGACGAGCTAGATTTTGAATTCTTGGGGAACCGGACTGGACAGCCTTATACAGTCCAAACCAATATCTATGCTCATGGGAAGGGCGATAGGGAGCAAAGGGTTAACCTCTGGTTTGACCCTGCTGCAGACTTCCACACTTACACTATCCTCTGGAACCATCACCATATTGTGTAAGCTAACAAGTTCATAGTCTGTCTCATCAGATATCTAACATGTTATGATGTTAGATAGTTTTACTTGTGTTAAACAAGAATAGGTCACATATATAGTTGACCAGTTTTGATTCACAGTCATCTGACAACATAATATTATTCGAGAAGGGAAGATGATTTTTCACACACCCATTTCAGCCTCTCAAACATGAATGTGTATAAAGCTGAAATGGATGTGTGTTTATCATTTTCCTTTGAAGATATTTCACTACATTAAACATTATTTTTACTTTATTTAAATGTGTGGTCAGAATTTGGTGTGAATGTCTATATTGTTGGTAGTGCAGCTTCTATGTGGATGCTGTGCCTATAAGGGTGTACAAGAACAATGAAGCCAAAGGAATCCCATACCCAAAGCTCCAACCAATGGGGGTGTTTTCGACATTGTGGGAGGCCGACGATTGGGCTACCAGAGGAGGACTTGAGAAGATCGACTGGAGCAAAGCCCCTTTCTATTCATATTACAAAGATTTTGACATTGAGGGATGCCCTGTGCCAGGACCAGCCTCATGTGCCTCAAGCACCAACAACTGGTGGGAAGGCGCTTCATACCAAGCCCTCAACGCCCTTGAGTATCGAAGATACAGGTGGGTTCGTATCAACCACATGATCTACGATTACTGCACCGATAGATCCCGGTACCCAGTAGCCCCACCAGAGTGCACCGCCGGCTTCTAAGTGGCCTCCAATGGCCAAAAACAATGCTTGTTATCACCAACGTGCCCTTGTACATTAATTAACGTGTAATAAGAGCCATGCACAGTAAAGGGTGTATTGGGAAATATGGGAAATTCTTGTGCAAATGTAAGTGTATATATGTGGATGGAAGACCGAGTCTGTTTTAGAAGTGAGCAAATGCCGATATCTATTAGTGGCTGTATGTGTGTGTATCCAGCTCGCATTATTGTACCAATAAAGCTCGTGCGTTATTGTGAAAGGGATATGTGTGTTTAATTTAAACTCTATCAGTTTTCGAAATTTTGAAGAAAAAATCTTCCCTTGTTTTGTACTGTTGAAAGAAGCAATTGGTCCATACTGACACGATATAACAAAGAAAAAAATGGAAGCAAACAAAATGATCGGTTGATTTTGTTGAGCACTACTGTTTTCAACTCGTCCGACTGAATCGAATATATGTAACACTGAGAACTTTTGCAACGGCTGTTCATCCATCTTTATACTACCCTTGTCCAGTTTCACTTAACTTCTGAGTGCATATATCTTACCGCCCAAGAACGTGTTTAACGTTTTAACGTTTAAGGACAGTAAGTGTATGATCTGACTTCGATTGAAATGTCTCAGGTGGGGTAATGCACCTTGGTCTTAGCTAGCATAAGCCATAAGTACCTACCACAAAGATGGTCCCAGGTTAATCAGCAGAGTCACAATCAGTTGTTGCACGTATGGCCCTGAAACATGTCACGATTACGATCATTGTAACCATTGGGACGTCAGATTTATGATCCATGTAGATGTAGGGTTGTAGACTGTGAGAAATATTGTCTACTTTCTGAATATACAAGCAGCTCAATCACTTTACACTCGCAAATGATAATCCCAACTAGCCATTTGGATGGTCTCTCTTTGGTCAATAAACTAAAACAAATTTTAAAGTCCATTATTAAAACAGAAAATTGACAAATTAAGGTGACAAGGCGAAACTCGAATTTTTATGTTAGAAAACTCAAAGAATAAACCCTTCAGCAAATTCAACTAAGTAGAACTGAACTAGCCATTTCGATGGTCACTGTTTGGTAAACTAAAACAAATTTTAAAGTCCAATATGAACACAGAAATTTGACAAATTAAGAGATTATGTCAAAACTTCAAATTGCATCGAATTTTTAGGTTGGAAGGCATTGAGAAGAAACCCTTCAATGAATTCAACAAAGTAGAACTGAATGTTATTAGACTAAATGGTTAGTTGGATGTGTTATCCTAGTCACACAGGCAAGCCTGATCTTGACCGGATCGATAAGAGGGCATTAAAAAAGGGACCCGTTGAACTTAAGCTATTAAAAAGAGGGACCATTGTTATGATGAACCAAGCAAGAGAGTCCAGAATTCATGGTGTAAAATGATGTTTTTGCTTGGGGCATGGCACATCTCCTTTGTTTTAGTTACCATGCATTTTAGGTCCACAAGTCTAGTGCCAAACAAAGTACCTAAAAGCAGGACGTGGTTGCATTGCATTCCACGACGGTTCAATAAAATCTTCCGCTTAATTAGTTTTTAAACTTTTTATAGACGTTGAGTTTGCACAGTAACTCAACTTTGTTGGGTGAAGGAAGAAAATTAAAAACTAGAAAATATATAGGAGAAAGTGAGGGATGAAGGGTGGAGGAAGAGAGGCGGAAGAAATTCTATATATACTAAAAGCCGGTGGAAAGCACTGTTCAAAAGCACTGTTCATTAACAGTGCCGTTTCGGTTTTGTCCCTGATCTAACGTTCACTTTTTTGGCATTTTGAAGATGCTACATGAAATGTCGTTTTTATCCCTTTCCTTCATCTTTTTTTTTTCCCGCATGTTGCTCGGCTTGGCTGTTTTGCCCTTTTGATTCTAGGTATTTGTTTCCTTTTTCTCTCCTGACATCCCCTCGCATGCCTCCTTGCAATCCCTGTCGCCATCTCACCTTCGATCCATGTGGCACAAAACACAATAAAAAATTATAAATAAATTAGATGCATGCACAAAGTAATTATTAAAAATTTTAAGAAGCCCACCTGTCTCCCGTTGCTTTACCTTTTGGTTATTTTATTTTTTGGAATCTCTCGATTTCTTTGTGTTGTGTGCTTCCAACATCTTCCACTTTTCACTTTCCTCTTCTTTCCTTCTCTTTCCGTTTCTCTCATCCTAGAACGGAAGAACAATGGAAAATCAGAAACCCACATCATCATCATCTATTCCTCATCAACACAGGTACTTTCTACACCTATTATATGTTCAAATCTGGTTCAAATTTCTGATTTGATATAATTAGACTTTAGAAAAAACTTGATGATTTTGTGGGTTAGAAATTTTTTTACTAATTTTCTGTGTTCGTCTTCACCACCATCGACGCGGGCAAAGCTTCCCAATTTGGCCTTTTTTTCCGATTTTTCTAACCCATCGTTTGGTTTCCGAGAAAAAAAATCTAATAACAAAAACGTTTTTTTTATTTTTTTTATTTTTTATGCAGAGCCGAAGAGTTTTTCAACATTAAGATTTAGATACCCGAGGTTGGTTGACGGATTTTGCCTCTGAACTCAATTCAGGTACACATAATCTCTCTCTACTTTGATTCTATATATAAACGCCTAACTTTCATGGTTGGTTTAAAGCAGTTCCTAAATTTCATCAGTTTTTGGATTCGGTCAGGATCGGTTTTTTACCCACGAAATCTAGAATCTTCTGGTAAGTTTCGTGACTTCATCCGTGTTGCTGTTTCAAATTTTGTTTTTGTGGTTTTCGATGTTCACATGGATTTTTTGTTTGAATTTTGTATTTGTAATTTTGCGGGTTGTTTTGAATTTACAGATGGCTTTTTCTAGGTTCGGTGAATTTACAGGGGAGAGGGAGAGAAAGGCCTGTTGAGGTAAACTCTTTTGCTAAAAGCTTCTAATTCACTCTTTATTTCTTTTTTCATCTGGGCAAAATTTTTGATGGATTTATGTATTTTTTTTTTCCGTTGAATTCGAACTCCAATCTGAATTATGGATTCAGAAAAAACAAATTGATGAATTTTTTATTTGCGTGCATGTCGGTCCGGTAACCGCATGATTTGATAATCCGACCGTGAAGCTAATCGTTTTTGTATGTTTTTGGGTTGCAGACCTGGACTGTCGAATGGAGAGGATGAAAAGCAACTGCAGGAAACCGGCAAATTGGTGCAATTTTTTGCTCTTTTATTAAATTGTCCATTCCTGCCAAATTTTAAACGGTGAGAGTGCAACAATTTTATTTAAAATTTATTTTCCTTATTTCACACTCCCAATCTCACAATATAATCTTTTTCTCACTCAGTGTGTGTGATTTTGTTGTTTTTTTTTTCTTTGTAGAATTTCTGTGTGTTACTCTCACTCTTATTTTCACTCTTGCTCGCAATCTCACAATATAATATTTCTCTTGGTCTTACTCTTACTCCGACTGTGACTCACAATTTCATACTTGCTCATTACTTTTTTTGGGGTATTAAGTTACTATCAATTTTTGTCAATGTTTATTCATATTAATTGTTCCGTGGCAGAACTGGAGAGTGTGTTCTTTGCAATCTTAAGCCAGAAAACATGTGGAGTATTAAGTCAGAATGGTTCTTGCTGCTTCAGACAGTGGCCACACCACAGTAAGCAGCCCATAGACCTTTAATAGTATTTGCATGATTATTCACTTTTTGAGTGACACCAAACAAAGTAGTCAACTAATTTTAACTTTTGGTCTCTGACATGGTTTCAGTTAAAGACGATTTTTTTTCACAACATAATGTTACACTTGCTGCTGCTGTAGAAGAGTTAATTTCTGTTAGACAGATGATTATAGTGTTGTTCCTATTATGCATAAGGTCGTGGTTATAATATTGTGAGATTTTGTGTCTGCATAAATCCAGTAGTGGTTTTGATAATCAAAAAGTAATCTCTCAACGTGCTTAAAGATTTGAATTTTTAAAGTGGTTCCACAAAACCTTCCGCAAAACCTGCACAGTGGTTCCGCAAAACCTGCAAAGTGGTTCCACAAAAATCTGCAAAGTGGACGTTATGTTGCTTGCAGCAGTAGATTGTTCCTTTCTATTTAAGTTGTAAGCGTTGTTTTCTATTTGGTAACTGTTGTTTATTATTGGTTGTTTCAAACTATTTATTACATGTGTATTAACATTTTCTTTCATTTTTAGCTTTTTTATTTTCCTTTTCTTTCTGATGATCAAACCTATTTTTTCTGCAGTGATTGCTTCAACCCAAAAACTTTTGCTCATGTGTCAAAGGATGTTGGCATCTGTTATCCAAAACAAACGAGTATGGGATCACATTTTTTGTGTGTGTAAATAGTTGATCCAAACATGAATTATCAAGGTGGAATACTAGGTTAATCATTTTTGTATACTATTAAAGCATTTGATAATGTCTTTTCTGTAAGTTATATAAATTTTGACAGCTTTGTAAATATGTTTATTCCATTTTCTGTTTAGTATTTATAACACTTTGCATATTTACATGTTAAAACATACTCTTATAGTTATATTTTCATTCCCGCAACAACGTGCGGGTAAAATTTACTAGTTAAAACCTATAATTGAAAATAATTTTAAGTTTTTGAATTTAAGGTTTGGTTTTATTCATTATCTTTCACTCTCATTCAGTCATGCATTCATTTCTATTTTACTTCACGTATTTCTTCTTTATCTTTAACAAAAATAAAATATTAAAAAACTAAAATCCAAAAAGTTACCAAGCAGGCGCGTAGTTATTAAGTGAACATGCCGATGGATAAGGGTTAGACAGAGCATAATGGATAAGAAGCTACTTTCCAACAATTGATGGGTAGTACAAATGATTGAGTGTTGGGCTCTGGTGGGATAAGGATGGTACTAGAAATTGTTGACTTTGTAGGATCCTTGATTGATATCAATCCCATGTAATCAAACGTAATCATGTGTAATTAGTTTTTTCTTTCTATTAACGTTAGGGTTGTATACATATAAATGCCTCTCAATGAGAAGAATACATATATCATTCAAGCATTCTTTTCTTGGCACTAAAGCTAGGTTTAGAAAAACAAATAAGAGTTTTAACAAAAAAATCACGGTATTATTCATTTTAACGAAAATTCACATTTTTACACTAAAAAATCAAATATATTACTATTTATTTTATCTTTTATCTTGTCCTTAAAACTCAAAGTTTTCAAACCTCTTTTATTAATTTTTCTTAAAAAAATTAAAAAAAATCGCTCTGCTGTGCGCATAACCCAGCGCTAGAACTACCAGCCGCGCCGCCAGTTGTGCAGCGCATTGTCCGACCGCTAGTCACGCCACAAGTTGTGTTGGGCACCGTCCAACCGGCAAGTGTCGCCGTCGTTGTTGGACTAAACCCACTCCATTCCGTTCATCTCGTTTTGTTCGCTCCATTCTGTTTCTCACGAACCCTGATCTCCATTCCCTCTGGCTGCCTGACTCGTAGGCTGAATACCAAATTGCATCATCTCATAGCAGACCCGGATCTCGAATCACCTCGACTGCTAACCCACCACTGCAAACGGCCACACCTGATCAATACCATACCCGCATCTCTGCCTCTCCAATCTGTATTCGACTGAAAACCATAAATTCTCGACCTATTGCTGCCCAAAATCCGTTGAACCCGCCTGAAGAAATTCGTTGAGTCGTCCACATCACACCGGAGAGCCAAACCTGCAAACTCGTCTCAGCTCACCCCTGCAATTAACAATCCAGACCAGCCCCTACTGCTGCTTCAAAGTTTGCAGACCTACACTGTCTCTTTTTTAATTGTGTTTTGTTTTATAAAAACAAAAAAGAAAAAAAGAAAAGAAGAAAAAAGAAAAAGGAAAAAAAAAACAATCAGCTTTGTTTTTCACTAGGCTTTTTTGTTTTGTCGTTGGGCTACTTTGTTAGCCTCATACTGATTATTTGCATAGCTCGGTTTGCTTGGAGTTTGGGCTTCATCAATCATGGACTCACATTATCGCCTCGATGGTCAGAGCTAAGGCCGATTCTAAACTTATGGCCGAGAAATTGTCTGCTTTGCTTACTGATACAGGTAACGATGGTAAGGATTTACAGATTTCTGCATCTATTATGAATAATATATGAATAATTGATTCTGGTGCTACTAAACATATGACTTGTGATTCTAGACAGATACAGACCCTAAAACCGTCCACCAAAACTTTTGTAAGTGTTGCCAATGGTAATGTTGCCCCCATTATTGGGGAAGGCACTGTCTCCCTTTCTAATACCCTTAATCTTGATATTGTACTTGTTGTCCCTACCATTGATTATAATTTGTTATCTGTTGCTCAAATAACTGTTGCCCTTCATTGTCTTGTGATTTTTTGGCCTTCCTTTTGTGTCTTTAAGGACATTCGGAATCACAAGATGATTGGTAATGGTATTAAAAAGAGGAAGCTCTACAACTTGGAGTTGGCATCAGACAGTACCCGAATTTTGACTCAAGCTCTTGTCGTGGAAGGGTCTCATGAGGAGATGAATAAAGATTCGGAGGTTTGGTTATGGCATCGCCTCCTTGGACATGCTTCTTTTGGGTATTTACGAAGGTTGTTTCCTAGCCTATTTGTCAAGCACAATGTTTCTAACTTTAAATGTGATGTTTGTGAACTTGTTAAAAGTCATCGTGCTTAGTTTCCATCGAGTTTGAATAAAAGTTCAGCTTCATTTATGATAATTCATTCTGATGTTTAGGGACCCTCTAAAATTGTTACATTTGATGGTGCTCATTGGTTTGTTACTTTTATTGATGATTGCACACGTATGACTTGGGTTTGTTTGATGAAGTCCAAAAGTGAAGTTCCTTCTTTGTTTCAACGATTTCACAAAATGGTGCAAGTACAGTATAAGTCACAAATACAAGTTCTTAGAAGTGATAATGGCGGTGAGTATGTGAATTCTGAACTTCGTGCCTTTCTTGATCATCATGGTATTGTTCGTCAAACTACATGTCCGTCTACTCCACACCAAAATGGAGTTGCAGAATGCAAGAACCGTCAGCTTCTGGAGGTTGTTTATGCTTCCTTGCTTGAGGCGTGTCTTCCCCTATCTTACTGGGGAGAAGCTCTCACCTCAACAGTATATCTCATTAATCGTGTTCCATATAGATCAGTTGACTTTCAAACACCACTTCAAGCTCTGTCCTTGCATATTGATGCCCTTACAGTCCCCAATCTTCCACCTCACGTGTGTGGCTATGTCGCCTTCATTCCTCTCCACAAACAATAGATGAGTAAGCTCGAACCGCAAGCCTTACGATGCGTGTTTGTAGGATATTCTTCAAATCAAAAAGGATATCGATATTATCACCCTTCGACGAAAAAATTGTTTGTCACTATGGATGTTGCATTTCATGAGAATGATATGTACTTTGCTAATCCCTAGTCTTCACTTCAAGAGGAAAATCATATAGAAGTTCAAACTCTTAATTATATTATTCCAAATACAGATATTGTGAATGATATGGATTTAAGTGGTTCTATCTTGGAAAGAAGTGATGATCATTCACAAGAAAATAATGTTGTGAATGACTTGGAGTTAAGTGGTAATATCTTGGAGACAAGTGGTGATCATTCGCAAGAAAACAATGTTGAAAACCTTGAAAGAGACAAACGGATACCAGACAACTCACTATTAGCACCGCTAGACAACTCAGTGTCGCCAGCTGTCTCACAGTTAGTCTCGTCACAATTGAGCCCCAATAACCATAATCAATCATCTTTGATCCCGGATGCACCACCATGTCATCTCCTTGATTGTGTCAACGGAGGTATTCCTAAAGTTACTTATGAAGCTGACCCTAAATGAAAAAATAGATATCCAGTTAATAAACCCAACCTCGAGTCTAATGTATTATACCTATTAAGCAATTATGTGTCTACCAGTCACTTGTCAAAATCAAATAAGTCATTCATGCATCAATTATCTACTGTATCTATTCCTAACAGTGTGCAGCAGGCTTTACCTGATCCACGTTGACAAGTTGCAATGAATGAAGAATTGAAGTCTTTGAAGAAGAATGCTACTTGGGAGATCACAGACTTGCCGTGTACACTGTATAGTACAAAGTTGATGGGACGGTAGACCGCTTCAAGGAACAACCAGTAGCGAAGGGTACACTCAAAATTATGGAATCGACTATACATATACATTTGCCCCAGTAGCCAAGACAACATAGTCCGTGCTTTGTTGTCATTGGCGGCAAACCTTAAATAGCCCTTACAACAGTTCGATGTGAAGAACGCATTCTTGCATGGAGATTTGACAGAAGAGATTTATATGGATCTTCAGCAAAGATGTAATGCTCCAGATAAATACAAGAGGAAGTTGTGCAAATTGAAGAAATCCTTGTATGGTTTGAAGCAGTCCCCTCAAGCATGGGTTGGAAGATTCATAAAATCTATGAAAGCATTTAGTTACAGACAAAGTAATTCTGATCATACTCTGTTCTTAAAAAGACAAAATGGGAAGCTTACTACACTAAGTGTGAACGTAGATGATATGGTGGTGACAGGGAATGATCTGGAAGAGCGTGCGGCCTTGCAAAGTTACCTGTCTATAGAATTTAAGATGAAAGACCTTGGATCCCTGAAATATTTTCTAGGGATAATGGTATCAAGAAGCAGTTCTGGAATTTTCTTGTCTCAAAGGAAGTATAATATTGATTTACTGCACGAAACTAGCATGTCAGCATGTTAGCCAATAGCTACACCATTAGAGGAAGGATTAAAGCTCAGTGTTGATCCTAATCAAGTACCAGTTGACAAAGGGAGATACCAAAGGTTTAGTAGGTCGTTTAATGTATTTGGCACACACACAAGACCAGACCTTGCTTATGCCTTGAGTGTAGTAAGTTGATATGATTTTTACCATCTACAAAAGTAGGGATAAAAACACATGAAATACTTGCAAGAATACAAGACTATTGTAGTATAGATGCTCATGCAATGTCGTTCTCCTCAAAGACTGTTTAGATAATTTATGTAGAAACAATTCCTAATTAAATATTTAAAATTAAAAATTGAGAAAAGAGATTATGAAATTGGGTAATATTAAAAAAATGAATTTCAATTAAAAACTAATATGACAAAGGAAAAGAATTTTAAATACCAATTTATAAAAGCACTAGGGTTCCACCATCACCTAGCAATCCTATGTATTTTTACCAATTACTTATGATCTACATATGCCATTTTGAAGGTTAGGTTTTCCTAATTTATATTCTACTTGGAACCTCGAACATAGAATGTATATTTGACATGCAACCCGTCTGGACATTCGGATTGAATCTGAACATGAAAGACTCATTATGCTTTATGAAAATCCTTTGAAAAACCATGCAACCCTTAAGACGTGGTGTTCATCTTAAGTGAAATTAAAATTATTAATCACAAGAAGCCAGCGTCAATTTTAGGGAACCTTTCGACCAAAATTGCATCAAATTACTTTTCTAAAGAATATAA